TTTTAGTTTTGTACCATTTGGATGAACTCAGAATCCGGTTGAAATCTTCTGGCGGAAAGAATCTGCTCACCGGATATTTTTCACCAAGGATTAGAATGAACTATTGAGTCAAGCTGTTTGGAGGTACCTCGAAAACTACAAATGAAAACCGCGAGGAGAACTCAGCTGCTTCTGAACACACGTTCTGAGAATAACGAACTGATGACGGTGTGTGTGTGTGTGTGTGTGTGTGTGTGTGTGTGTGTGTGTGTGTGTGTGTGTGTAGAGGGCAATTGTTCGAACACCGCTGTCTCACCACCCGTTCGATCTACCGGTGACTTCAGTGAACATGATGGGTTTTCTCGCGTTTGGAAAGATATGTAAACGGAATGACTATGCGGTTGTTACAAGAGATCAAGGAACACAAACGGGTTTGGTTGAACAACTTCACGGAGAAAATTACCTCAGCACACGTTTTTACTGCAAAATGCTCAATCACAGAAACATCAAATTTGACAATGAAAGAACACCTTTCGTTCCACGGCTGGGAGAAAAGTCCTGCGAAATACCGACTGAAGACCCGGAAACCATTGAAATAAAAAACAACAGCATATCCAATTGTTAAATGTAACTTGAATCACAGAGTTGTCCTTAGTGAATTCATGAACACGGAAATAATGCAGATATTGTGATGCATGAGCGTTTAATTTCCTTTCGTTGATCACTCTAGGCAGATAGATTTTATTTGTTTCGTTACAGGGGTCCACAAAATTCTACCGAGCTCGGATGAGCTGCATCAAACAAGGGTCTATGACATCGTATTAGAATTTCGTATCGCACAAAGCAACAGACCACGAGTGAGATGAAAACCTGCAAATCACTGGTCAACTGTATAATGAGCAGTGTCTGGGGTNGTCTGGGGTTCGAACCCGTAACGTGGTGTCATATGAAAAAAATTCCGGAGTTGCCATTTGGAAGCAAAAATTTGAAAATGTATACACTGCATGTAGAACTTTTACAATTTTACGATAAAACTAGTAACATATCGGGTGCCCTCACTCTTGTCATGACCAATTAAGCCATCTGCAAGTTAGCCTGAAGGACATTATTTGTACCAACCACCATCAGCGTCGATTGACGCTATCATACTTTGCGTACTAATCTTCCTCATTTTATCATTATTAATGAACCTTTCTTTCTCCAATACCGGTTTAACAAAATAATCCAACAATCCCATTGGTTATAGCATGGCATTATTAGTCAAAACATATCCGATGCTGTTACTGTGACGTATTTTGGTATTGTGTGTGTGTGTGTGGTGAATTTGGTCATGTGCAGAGCAAACAAAACGTGGACTGAAAAGTCGGGAGGCGCTGGACAGCTGTTTGGGACCTGATTGCGTCTGATCATCAGTGCCTGAATCCTTCAACCCAACTGAGGCTTGCGAATCCGAGATCTCACAGGCAGCACACAAGCATACGATCCACTTGACCAATGGGCAGTTGATCAGACCATAGTTTTCACTTCACCTATATATGATCGTTGACCGAGCTTGGTGGGGACATCACACTTCACGCAGCTCAGTACTAGCCTCCTGGGTTATGAATCGGATGGAAACATTCAGAACATGACTGTCCTGTTTCGTAATTATTACTGGTTTCCCCCTGCTGAAAGTTTATGGTTAATGGTTATTAGGCTGTCGTTTTACGCATTCACACTTCCTTCCACAAGGTTATCTTCAAATGTATGATTATATGCGTTATTATTTGTGCTTTTCCCCGGAACAAATGTTAGGAAGTTCTTGAGCTTCCAGAAACGTCCTCCTAAATTTAATGATTAAACCAAGGCTGTTTTGTTTGATCTTGTCTTTTATGAGTTTATCGATCGACTATTTTAAAGACGAAAGCCATTGTTCGCACGAAAACCGAATGAACTCCGTGCTGAATACTCAGATATGCGTTCCATATCTTGCTCGCTTTTGGCTCTCAAGGATAAAAATCTTCGGCCGGATTCATTCTTATTTGCTTCGGGCTTTGAAACATTAGCTTTTCTTAATATTGTGTACAACTAGCACTTGCAACTCTCCCCAGTGAAAATAAATTGTTGGATGCATAACCATTATCATCATTTAATTGGACTTGAATGTGGCGTGCTTTGGACCCTATGGTCCACCACCGCAACCGCCACCGTTACCACCACCGAACGTTGGTGGTAAACAGTTGTGCTGGTGGTTCGTCAATTCAAGTCCTCGGGGTCAAGGTTGCTGATTTCTATCGCTGAACAATAGGTCTTCGTGACTATGGGGTCCATCCCATTTGCTGTTTATTGCACAAATGTGTATTTATTAAAAAACGGAGATAATACAAGTTAATTTTGGTTAGATCTGTGTGGTTTTGTATTTCATGTTTATGTGGGAGGTAGTTGTGAGCAGCCGAAGTCCACCGAAGAGTTTCACA